GATTACTTTATCAAACGAGCTTATTATTAGATTCATTGAATGAATAATTCAATATATTAAACCATCATATCTAGAGCTATGTATATATGAACATAACATGTATGTCCGGGTCCGTACTGCCAAATTTGTCAATAGTTAGTATAGCATTCTGTCATGTTTCTAATGTCTCCCAAATTGAAATTCTATAATCTATCTATATACCTAGGATGATAGTGGATTACTTTATCAAACGAGCTTATTATAGATTCATTGAATGAATAATTCAATATATTAAACCATCATATCTAGAGCTATGTATATATGAACATAACATGTATGTCCGGGTCCGTACTGCCAAATTTGTCAATACAGATAGCATTCTGTCATGTTTCTAATGTCTCCCAAATTGAAATTCTATAATCTATCTATATACCTAGGATGATAGTGGATTACTTTATCAAACGAGCTTATTATTAGATTCATTGAATGAATAATTCAATATACTAAACCATCATATCTAGAGCTATGTATATATGAACATAACATGTATGTCCGGGTCCGTACTGCCAAATTTGTCAATAGTTAGTATAGCATTCTGTCATGTTTCTAATGTCTCCCAAATTGAAATTCTATAATCTATCTATATACCAAGGATGATAGTGGATTACTTTATCAAACGAGCTTATTATTAGATTCATTGAATGAATAATTCAATATATTAAACCATCATATCTAGAGCTATGTATATATGAACATAACATGTATGTCCGGGTCCGTACTGCCAAATTTGTCAATACAGATAGCATTCTGTCATGTTTCTAATGTCTCCCAAATTGAAATTCTATAATCTATCTATATACCTAGGATGATAGTGGATTACTTTATCAAACGAGCTTATTATAGATTCATTGAATGAATAATTCAATATATTAAACCATCATATCTAGAGCTATGTATATATGAACATAACATGTATGTCCGGGTCCGTACTGCCAAATTTGTCAATACAGATAGCATTCTGTCATGTTTCTAATGTCTCCCAAATTGAAATTCTATAATCTATCTATATACCTAGGATGATAGTGGATTACTTTATCAAACGAGCTTATTATAGATTCATTGAATGAATAATTCAATATATTAAACCATCATATCTAGAGCTATGTATATATGAACATAACATGTATGTCCGGGTCCGTACTGCCAAATTTGTCAATACAGATAGCATTCTGTCATGTTTCTAATGTCTCCCAAATTGAAATTCTATAATCTATCTATATACCTAGGATGATAGTGGATTACTTTATCAAACGAGCTTATTATAGATTCATTGAATGAATAATTCAATATATTAAACCATCATATCTAGAGCTATGTATATATGAACATAACATGTATGTCCGGGTCCGTACTGCCAAATTTGTCAATACAGATAGCATTCTGTCATGTTTCTAATGTCTCCCAAATTGAAATTCTATAATCTATCTATATACCTAGGATGATAGTGGATTACTTTATCAAACGAGCTTATTATAGATTCATTGAATGAATAATTCAATATATTAAACCATCATATCTAGAGCTATGTATATATGAACATAACATGTATGTCCGGGTCCGTACTGCCAAATTTGTCAATACAGATAGCATTCTGTCATGTTTCTAATGTCTCCCAAATTGAAATTCTATAATCTATCTATATACCTAGGATGATAGTGGATTACTTTATCAAACGAGCTTATTATAGATTCATTGAATGAATAATTCAATATATTAAACCATCATATCTAGAGCTATGTATATATGAACATAACATGTATGTCCGGGTCCGTACTGCCAAATTTGTCAATACAGATAGCATTCTGTCATGTTTCTAATGTCTCCCAAATTGAAATTCTATAATCTATCTATATACCTAGGATGATAGTGGATTACTTTATCAAACGAGCTTATTATAGATTCATTGAATGAATAATTCAATATATTAAACCATCATATCTAGAGCTATGTATATATGAACATAACATGTATGTCCGGGTCCGTACTGCCAAATTTGTCAATACAGATAGCATTCTGTCATGTTTCTAATGTCTCCCAAATTGAAATTCTATAATCTATCTATATACCTAGGATGATAGTGGATTACTTTATCAAACGAGCTTATTATAGATTCATTGAATGAATAATTCAATATATTAAACCATCATATCTAGAGCTATGTATATATGAACATAACATGTATGTCCGGGTCCGTACTGCCAAATTTGTCAATACAGATAGCATTCTGTCATGTTTCTAATGTCTCCCAAATTGAAATTCTATAATCTATCTATATACCTAGGATGATAGTGGATTACTTTATCAAACGAGCTTATTATAGATTCATTGAATGAATAATTCAATATATTAAACCATCATATCTAGAGCTATGTATATATGAACATAACATGTATGTCCGGGTCCGTACTGCCAAATTTGTCAATACAGATAGCATTCTGTCATGTTTCTAATGTCTCCCAAATTGAAATTCTATAATCTATCTATATACCTAGGATGATAGTGGATTACTTTATCAAACGAGCTTATTATAGATTCATTGAATGAATAATTCAATATATTAAACCATCATATCTAGAGCTATGTATATATGAACATAACATGTATGTCCGGGTCCGTACTGCCAAATTTGTCAATACAGATAGCATTCTGTCATGTTTCTAATGTCTCCCAAATTGAAATTCTATAATCTATCTATATACCTAGGATGATAGTGGATTACTTTATCAAACGAGCTTATTATAGATTCATTGAATGAATAATTCAATATATTAAACCATCATATCTAGAGCTATGTATATATGAACATAACATGTATGTCCGGGTCCGTACTGCCAAATTTGTCAATAGTTAGTATAGCATTCTGTCATGTTTCTAATGTCTCCCAAATTGAAATTCTATAATCTATCTATACACCTAGGATGATAGTGGATTACTTTATCAAACGAGCTTATTATAGATTCATTGAATGAATAATTCAATATATTAAACCATCATATCTAGAGCTATGTATATATGAACATAACATGTATGTCCGGGTCCGTACTGCCAAATTTGTCAATAGTTAGTATAGCATTCTGTCATGTTTCTAATGTCTCCCAAATTGAAATTCTATAATCTATCTATATACCTAGGATGATAGTGGATTACTTTATCAAACGAGCTTATTATAGATTCATTGAATGAATAATTCAATATATTAAACCATCATATCTAGAGCTATGTATATATGAACATAACATGTATGTCCGGGTCCGTACTGCCAAATTTGTCAATAGTTAGTATAGCATTCTGTCATGTTTCTAATGTCTCCCAAATTGAAATTCTATAATCTATCTATATACCTAGGATGATAGTGGATTACTTTATCAAACGAGCTTATTATAGATTCATTGAATGAATAATTCAATATATTAAACCATCATATCTAGAGCTATGTATATATGAACATAACATGTATGTCCGGGTCCGTACTGCCAAATTTGTCAATAGTTAGTATAGCATTCTGTCATGTTTCTAATGTCTCCCAAATTGAAATTCTATAATCTATCTATATACCTAGGATGATAGTGGATTACTTTATCAAACGAGCTTATTATTAGATTCATTGAATGAATAATTCAATATATTAAACCATCATATCTAGAGCTATGTATATATGAACATAACATGTATGTCCGGGTCCGTACTGCCAAATTTGTCAATAGTTAGTATAGCATTCTGTCATGTTTCTAATGTCTCCCAAATTGAAATTCTATAATCTATCTATATACCTAGGATGATAGTGGATTACTTTATCAAACGAGCTTATTATAGATTCATTGAATGAATAATTCAATATACTAAACCATCATATCTAGAGCTATGTATATATGAACATAACATGTATGTCCGGGTCCGTACTGCCAAATTTGTCAATAGTTAGTATAGCATTCTGTCATGTTTCTAATGTCTCCCAAATTGAAATTCTATAATCTATCTATACACCTAGGATGATAGTGGATTACTTTATCAAACGAGCTTATTATAGATTCATTGAATGAATAATTCAATATATTAAACCATCATATCTAGAGCTATGTATATATGAACATAACATGTATGTCCGGGTCCATACTGCCAAATTTGTCAATAGTTAGTATAGCATTCTGTCATGTTTCTAATGTCTCCCAAATTGAAATTCTATAATCTATCTATATACCTAGGATGATAGTGGATTACTTTATCAAACGAGCTTATTATTAGATTCATTGAATGAATAATTCAATATATTAAACCATCATATCTAGAGCTATGTATATATGAACATAACATGTATGTCCGGGTCCGTACTGCCAAATTTGTCAATACAGATAGCATTCTGTCATGTTTCTAATGTCTCCCAAATTGAAATTCTATAATCTATCTATATACCTAGGATGATAGTGGATTACTTTATCAAACGAGCTTATTATAGATTCATTGAATGAATAATTCAATATATTAAACCATCATATCTAGAGCTATGTATATATGAACATAACATGTATGTCCGGGTCCGTACTGCCAAATTTGTCAATACAGATAGCATTCTGTCATGTTTCTAATGTCTCCCAAATTGAAATTCTATAATCTATCTATATACCTAGGATGATAGTGGATTACTTTATCAAACGAGCTTATTATAGATTCATTGAATGAATAATTCAATATATTAAACCATCATATCTAGAGCTATGTATATATGAACATAACATGTATGTCCGGGTCCGTACTGCCAAATTTGTCAATACAGATAGCATTCTGTCATGTTTCTAATGTCTCCCAAATTGAAATTCTATAATCTATCTATATACCTAGGATGATAGTGGATTACTTTATCAAACGAGCTTATTATAGATTCATTGAATGAATAATTCAATATATTAAACCATCATATCTAGAGCTATGTATATATGAACATAACATGTATGTCCGGGTCTTACCTTCTCAGCGGCGAGGTCTAGATCTCTAGTGAGTGAGAGGACTCGTGTTTCCTTGTCCCGAGCCTCCCTCTCCGCTGCGTCTCTTTCTGCCGCGTTCCTCTCAGCGACTGCACGTTCTTCGGATACGACCTAGATAAACAATATATATTTAAATATATAGAATAATTAAAAATAAAGCATTAGATAAGGAAGAATTAAGTGAATATTAGAATTAATACAATAAAAAAATTATTCTAATGTTATGTGTCGTGAAGGAAAAGTGATGAGAGCTAGAAATAATGATGACCACATTTAGAATTAGACAGGTCTTTAAAGATGAACAAATATTATCATTATTATTTACATGTATGTAAAATGTAAAAGATACCAAAAATTAAAATTAAACTATTATTTTCAGATTACTAAACTTATTTTAATTTTTTTTTTAACTTCATTCTCTTGACGTTATTACTTTCCAGCAACCGTGATCACAGTTGATGCAAAGTCTATATTTATGTATGGGTTCACCCATACTTTAACAATTTCATTGTACGTACACATCCATAATCAAATATAAATGTAAGCATTGTCATAATTTAGTCAGTATCAATAAAGCGTTCAAATAAACAGGTCATTCTCATTACCTAAACATGATACTCACAAACTAGCTGGTCTCCATTAAACTATCAAATCTAAATGGTGTGTGGTATCAAACCCATACAATTTACTTTAATTCTCCTTGTATATAATAATATATTTTTACCACATATCTTCTAACTACACTCATATACAGTACCTTATCAAAGTTCTTCTGTTTCTTCTCTAGTTCCAACACCTTGGCCCGCTGCGCCGCCAGCTCGATGTTGGCGTCCTCAAGCTCCTCTTGAATCTTCTTTTTACCTTTATAACATACATTCATATAAGAAACATTTACATACTCTTCAAAGTAATAGCTGACGAACAATGTTTTATTAATATTGGTTTGGTGCATAATTAATGAAAAAGTCAAATAATGCAGTACTATGATGTTTAAATTTGTATATATGTGGATTCTAAATAAAGAAGAAGATTACATACAGTGAGTTATATATGTCATCAGCCTATCAGAGCTCACTGCTGAGCAAAGACTTTCTCACACGAAGAAGGTTTGAGCATTAATGACCACACTTGCAAGACAGATTGACGATTTCAAACTTATCCGTTCAAAATTTTCTCACATTTTTTTTTTCTTTACTGTTTCTCAATTGTATGATATATCTAAATACTCTTAGAAAGTACATATGACTCAGAAAAATCACATTGGCACTTGCCAGGGCCAGGATCGAACCCGCGCCCTCATTCACGAGAAGTGGGCCTCTAGGAGTTAGAGACGAGACGAAATTTCTCATCATTCAATATGTTCACCGTGCGGGTGTCGGGTCCATCGTGTTGTAGTGAGAGGAGCTTCAACAGTGACTGGGATTTGCGACCCAGGTGTAGGTTTAAGGGGCCCCTATCTAACGCGCGTATAGTAAAGATATATTGTATGTGTGTATGTGTATGTGTATACTAACTCTTCTCTATCTTATCATTGGCTTGTTGCTTCTCCTCCAGTTGACAGTGTAGCGCCTCCACGTCTTTGCTGAGTTTCTTCCTCTGTTCCTCGAGCGCGGCGGCCACTTCAGCTTCTTCCTCCGCCTTCTTCTTGGCATCAGCCACTTGTTGGGTTAGCATTGCAACCTGAAAATCATTTCTAATATTATACAGGTGTTCGTAACAGTATTAGTATTAATTATCAAAGAGGGTAACATTGAAAACCAGCATTAGGTGTTCAAAGCTATTAATTGCTGAATGGTATACCTATTTGGGACACGTCATATTATTGTAATAACATTTTTTTCTTTTAATTTTTTTTAATAGTTATAAGTTGTCTTTTTGGTTTATGTTTTTTTTTTGTTTTATTTCTTATTTTTGAAATAACTGATATTCCATCATTTTTGTATGGTCCCAAATAAAAAAATGTTCTTTCTTTTCTTTCTATAATTCAATGTGAACTTATATATCTATACAAGTACCTAATGTGTACGACTTTACTTGCATGGAACTTTAAACTACCCTCAGTGGGAAATAATTAATGCAAGCTATTTATCAGCAAACTTTTACAAATTATAATCAAAAATTCTACATCTATTTGTTTCAAGCAAGCTGTTTATCAATATATTGATACCTGTTTCTCCAGGTTGCCCTTGGCCTCCTCCTCTTCATCCAGCTGGTCCCTGGCCTGTTCAAGCTGTTGCTCTACAGCTCGCAGCTTCGTTTGCAGAGACAGCTTCTGTTTCGTCTCCTCTTCAAGCTGGGCCTGTATATAAAAGCTATTATGATATACATTGTATTTATATTACATCCGTGATCACGGGCAGACGAGATATGAATGATTTGTAGTGGTAAAAATAGTAAAATTCACATAGTAATCCCAAAATATTAATTTCATCCATTCTTCCATATTAATGAAATCGCGTTTTAAGTTAATCTCTAATATTTCTAGCCATCGTGAGTCCCACCTGTAGTTTCTGTTAATGTTTAACATGACTATATATAAAGTATATTCTTCCAAACTAATGGAAGTTTATTCTGTCTCATATGTTTTAACCTGTAGTTCCACGTGGTTGGCCCCGGCGGTGGCGGCCTGTTTGGCTGCGGCGGATGCCTTCAGTTCAGCGGCCTCCAACTGTTGCAGCGCTTGCTCCGCCTCGCTCTGAAGCCGCACGCAGCGCTCCGCCAATTCCGCCCTGGCATAAAGACATTATTATTAAATACAATATCTTCTCTAACAAAATTGTGTATCGTATTATTGTAATTTTTATTTAATAATTATGATAATATTCCAAGCAAACCTCCAAATCTATATAAATTTAATAGTTTATATTATTAACTCATTTATACGATTATTTTCGGTCTTTGTAAAATATTACCACATATCCTTCTACTGTTTCGTGAGCAAAGATTCTTAACTAATATGTTGTTTTAGCAACAATGTACAGACCGGAGATTCTCAAACTGAATTTAATTATGTAGATAACTCGTTATCATTAAATATTGGTTTTCATAAATTTTTTCCTGTATTTGAAGTTTTGGAAACACTTATTGAACGAAACCTCATAGCATTCAATGTATTTACCATGCGGTTGCCAAGTGTATCGTTGTAGTGAGAGGAGCTTCAACAGTGACTGGGACTTGCGACCCAGGTGTAAGTTTAAATAGCCCCTATATAACGCGCGGTAAACGTGAAAACTCCTCTCTCTACCTAACCAAATTTCAAGAGCCTACTAGGGCTGAATTCAAAGTGTGTTCCAAGAAACTGACGTTATTTATGGACATGCCACGTCTTTTAGTAGATTGTTAAGACATTTTATTATACCTCTCATCACCAGTACCGCGTACTACGTACAACTTTGATTGTTCCCGTGTATACACTACACTAGTTATCTCACCTGGTTCTGTCCACGTCTTGTAGTTTAGCGGCCACCTCCTGCAGCTGAGCCTCGACTTGTTTCCTTCTCCTCTCGCTCTCGGCTCGAGCAGCGCTGGCGGTCTTAAGTTCAGTGGTCAGGTCCGCGTTCTCAGCTTCGAGAACTTGCTTGGCCTTCTCTAGACCTGGAATCAATTAAATTATCATTTATAAAAGAAAAATATATACATACAATCACATATATAAAATGTATTCGTATGTAAAATGATGTAAGTCATCGAAAACAGTCACTGATACTGGAATCCGGACTGTTTAAATTAGAGATTAAGATTATTGTTGATTGTTCGCAACCACTGTACAATATATACATTTTTATATCAAACAAATTTTTTATACTTTATATGGTCACTAATACTGGAAATCTTTTGTAAAACTAAGAATTTTCACATAACACTGAACACACAACTAAGAATTTCCATATTTCCTCTATACCGGAGTTATTACAGACAAACCTATACCCAATATGCTATCGTCTGTTATGTATGGTATACTATACTCTAGTTACACTTATACTGCAGCGTCACGTCAGGTTTCCCCTCTGCGGGCGCGTCCTTACACATGTGTTGCCAGTAATCTCTAGTAGACGAGAACGCGTTAGTCTCATCGTTAGCCTGAACGCTCTCCACGTCGAAGCTGCCGTCTTTCGGTAGACCGAATTTAAAAATTTTCTGCTTAAATTCCTTAACAACCGCCATTGTATAATCGTACCAAAACTACATACATTAAAAATTTCTGATAAAATAAAAGCACGAAAGTTTGGTGAGTGACATGAAAAAAATTTCGGTTAACAATCGGACAGGTTGTGTCAGACGTGACATTTTCAAATTTGGAAACTGTAGATGTGACATCCGTCAGAGAATTAAAGAGCGAGAAGGATTTACTTTATATTTAACAAAATGATAAAATTTAAGAAGAATATCTGTTCACAGGTGCCTGAACATATTTGACATATGTTTTGATGTGGTCAGATACTATGTTAGAACGTAGACTGGTAGTACGACCCTCTCACAGAAGATCGGCTTGAAGACGTCTTTAACGACTGCGTTTCGTTCGATGAGTGAGAAAGTCCCTACAGTGTCTACCCTTTTCTTCCATTTACTTATTCCCACCCTACTCTGTTCCTCAATAACCAATGAAGCAACGCGTCTGAAACATCTCTTATGATACAGATATCCATGGACGACTGTGACTACCTACTATAGAGTAGACCGTTTGCTCGTTGGCCAGCTTTCTCATACAAAAAAAAATATACAAATAATCAATGTATAATATATAGTAATGTTTAACTCACCGGCCTTGGCCTTCTTAAGTTGTTCCTGCTGTTCGTTGAGCAACTGTAGTTCCTGTGAGTGCTTATGCCTCTGGTCGGCCAGCGCGGCCTCGTGCGCGGCGGCCTCTTCCTCCAACGACCTCTTGAGTACAGCCACCTCTTGCTCCCTTTTGGACCTCAGCTCCTGTTGAGCCGCGGTAGTATCCAATGAGTCCAGTAATTCGCTCTTCAAAGCTTCCAGTTCCTCATTAAGATCTCTCCGCAGCTTCTCCGCCTTGCTCCTGGCGGCTCGCTCCAGGTCCAAGTCTTCCCGGGCCTCGTCTAACGCCGCCTGGGCCTCGCGGACTGCTTTCTGTGCGTTGTTCCTTTGTGAACTCTCTTCGTCGGCGCGTGCGTTAGCCGCCACCAATTCCTCCTCTCGTTTCTCTGTGGATACGAGTAATATAACGTCAATGTTATAAAATTACATACATTATACAATCTACCAAGAGCTTATCCCCTGATTTATTTATCATTAAGTGTTACAACATAATATAATATATACATACAACGGATATCATAGTGATAATTATGTGTCTATGAGTTTGCATTTCTTATCGCTGTTTTGTACACAATTATTGTTGCTTTGAGGGTATGTTTTAAATTTCTTGTTTAAAGCAAAATTTATTGTAAGAATATGTTAAACTACCTAGTGATACATTTATTATGATTGTCGAAGTTTTAATTTAAAATATGTTTATAGCCATAATTTTCCCAAGTACGTGAAATGTAATTTCTTTTTGAGAAATTAAATATCTTTAACCATAATTATAGGTAACATTATTTTTAATCTGTCTCCTAAGGCACCTTATTGTCGTATCAACAAATCCCTAAACCTAAAGTGTTTCTTAATACATGTATATCTGTCATCAACTCACTCAGTACAATCTGTAGTTCTTCAAGCTGCGCCTTCCTCTCCACAAGTTGTTCCTTAACATCTTGTAGCTCTGTCTCCAACTTCCTCTTGGTTCTGTCCACTTCTTGCCTTAATTGGTGGTCCTACGATTATTGAAATGAAAATATTAGAACATTCCCATATAAAAATACGTATACGTTTCTTAGTATTTTACGTAATATTATCTTAATAACTACCTTCAATAGTTTCTCCTCCAGCTCAGCAATAGCGGACTCCTGTTTCGCTTTCAATTTACTCAGATGTTTAGCCTTTTCTTCTTCTTCGGCGAGTGCTTGTGAGAGATCGTTAGCTCTCTCTTCTAGGACCTGGAAATATTATAAGCAATTTATGAATCATATCTATGTAGCAGTTAATGTTCTAACGTTATATAACGTATACTATAGTATATACTAGTTTTTTCTCGCGAATTCGTCCGCTTTAATTTCGGAGTTAGTAATATATATATAGCAGACTATAATTAGCCAGATATTCTTTTTCGATCGAACAGAATGAAGTATCCTATGCCCGTCTCCTGGTTTTAAGCTATCTCTCCAACAATTTTCAACCATATCCCTACAACCGTTCTTGAGTTATACATAGTGTAACTAACACGACTTTCCTTCATATATATATAGATGATCACTAAGTTCTATGTGCTTCTTACAATATATCAATAGTACCTTCTTCTCCTTGAGTAGTTTCTGGTTGGTATCGTCGCTGAGCGCCAGATCTTCCTCAAGTTTCTTGATCTTAGCGTCACACTGGACCCGCTCAAGCTGCAGCTTTTGACGAGCTGCTTCCTCCTCTTCCAGCTGTTCCATTACATCCTGGAAGAAAACACATTCTTATTTAATCAAACATACATATTTGTCATATATGTAATGGCGTCTCAAATATCTAAAACAAACTTATATTACATAATAAAATTATATTACATCTTCTATAATATATATAAAGATTAATTCACCGACTCGAGTCAGGACAGTTTAGATCAATTGTTAAAGCAACTGGTACACACTATGTCGACGTTTTCATTCTACATACATTCCTTTTAAATTTTAATGACCTATATCTTCGTAGAGCAAATTTTTTCACAAATAGTAATTATTTAGTATTTAATTTATTAATTTAGACAAATTTTCAGCTCAAACTTTCTTCTGTTAATCTGCTTCCAATGTAGATACGCGGAATTATCCAATGATAGTTACGCGTATTTGCATTATCCCATACTATATGACTATTAACCCTGTTTGTATTCTGTACCTGTATATTCAGCTGTAACTTCTTCTTCTCCTGCTGTAGAGCTGTACATCTTTCCTCCTCCTCTTCTATTCTTCCTTCCAGGTCATGCAGAAGTTCTTCCAGCTCTTGCTTGCGAGCAGCCGCCCTAGCGCGGGATTCCTCGGCTTCAGCGCATAACTCGAGTTCCGCCTATGAAAATATATATCATTATTATATTTATACACGACCAATATTTAGACAAAATAATATACGATTTTGTCTCGTCAAATTCAATAAACACAATCTCTATAATTAAAAACTTCAAAAAACTTATATATTGCAATTAAATCCTAAACAGCTTCATAATCATTTTATAATTCTTCTAATCAAATATGAATTATTTTTTGGAATATAAATTATTTCTAATGGTAAAGCTTTGCCGTATACATTTATATATATATATCCTTTATTGCACTAAAACAAGATAGAAAATAACATAATAGAAAAAACATACACAAAGACGGACTTATCTCTAAAAGAGATCTCTTCCAGTCAACCTATGGAGGTGAGTGATAAGAGTCATACAGCATATAAGGTATTTTTGAAATTATTTATATGTATAATTAATGTATCCAGCACCTGTAATTGTTCAGCGAGCTCGGTCTTCTCGATGCTAGCCTGCTGGTATTTGGCTTCGTACTCCTGACACAGCTTGAGCTGGGAATCAAGCTGTTCGCGGATCAAACGAAGCTCATCCTCCTTCTGTGTCAACTTCTCCTCCTGCTTCGTCACTTCCAGCAGAGGTTTCACCTGGAAATTATAACAATATAGAGAATTGAGTTTACTTCAATATCTAATATCTGTATGCAGTTAAATATTTTCGCCTATTAATTGAATCAATCGAATGGAATCCATTATGACACACGTCTATTAATTATGTAATTATTATTTAGGGCATTGTTCCGCTATGACACAAGGATCGTTACAATAAGAATCAAAACAAAGCCAGCAGCCGTGGATAAACAATAAACCATCGGTGTACCTTCGCCACTATTTACATTATAATAGTAATTCCTACATAATAATGGCATTGGCGTGTTTTCAAAACACGACACTCGCATTCCTGAGAACGTATTATGCAACAGAATAGATTATGGAATTTAAAATACATATGAAGCTCACCTTAATGTACAACCTCCACCACTGCCAGTTCCTCAGCTTGAGGTAGGCGGCGCAGTTTCTTTGTATGATTCTTATAGCGCTCAACTGCTGCAATCTCTTCTGATAGTTTCTTCTCGCAAGGAATCCCCTGCAGAATGCTTGGAAGTTCACTATGAGGTCGGTTATCTTGTAGTCCCTCTCCTCCTCCAGGTGAGCTAAAACTCCGGCTCTGAAGAAGATCTTCGATTGACCGACGCGATAGAGGTTGTGGTCGAGTTCCAACGCTTCTATCATTTGCTCGCAGGCTTTTTTACCGTCCATGAATCCTTTAGGGATGATGTTCGGCGTGAGGAGCTCGTAACGCTGTCTGAACTCCTGGAACGGGATCCTGTTGGGGAAACCTTGGCGGCAAATCCTGATACCTTCGAGTACACCGTTACAACGCAACTGGTCCAACACCAGCGGCGCCTCTATCTTGCCGGCTCTCTTCTCGTGGTTCGGTATGATACACCGGACGAAATTCGGGTTCGTGTTCCTCAGCGTAGCCATCAACTTGGTCAACTGTTCCTTGTACAGTTGGGAGACCGTCCTGAACATTCCGTTCCTTATTCTCTTGCCGAATTGTGTATCGGTCATCGCTTGCTGCGCCATGCCGACTATCTCCGCGTCCTTCCAGATGTGGCACACGAACGGATCCTGCGAGGACTGCAGCAGCGACACCACGTTCTCGTTCAGAGGATCCATATTCTTCATGAGCCACTTGGCGGCCGAGTAATCGACTTTCCCCGCGTAGTGTATGATAGAGAAGTCAGCGACGCCTCTGAAATCCGTCTTCATGAATTTCGGGTGTACGGAGTGTGAGGACACGAGCTTCTCGACGAACGTCTTGTCAGTCGCCTTGGGGAACCAGCACTCTTCATCGAGCAAGGCCATGATGCCCATGGGTTTGTCGATGAGGTCGATCGTCGGCTGCAAGTCCAGACCGAAGTCTATGAACTTCCATTCGATGCCTTCCCTCTGATACTCCTCCTGTTCGAGGATGAACATCGTGTGGTTGAAGAGCTGTTGCAGCTTCTCGTTAGTGTAGTTAATACACAGCTGTTCGAAGGAGTTCAGTTCGAATATTTCAAAACCGGCCATATCGAGGATTCCTATGAACGACGCGCCTTGCCTCTTCGTTCTGTCCAGCGACCTATTGATTCTGTTGACCAGCCATCTGAACAGACGTTCGTAACAAGCCTTGCCGATAGCCTCCACAGAGAACTCCACCTGTTCTTTAGTTTGTGCTTTAGTGACGAAATCACGACCCACTTTAATCCGGGGCTTGAGGAAAGCTTTTGTCATTTCTGTCACAGAGAGACCTGGAAACAATAAACTCATTAATATATAGTCCAAATACAGCATAAAAAGATCAAACAAAAAAATTCCTAACCAAGCAAATGAGCAATTTTCTGTGCCACAGTATTATCTGGCAGCGTGGCTTGATCCGAGTTTCTCTCCTGTTTGAACTGCATGGACCCAAACAGGAGTACAGCTGAGACGATTCTAAATATCGAGTTGAAGTCTTCATTGTTCATGCCCATGATGTGCATGGATTTTATGGTGGCCTGGAACTCCGCGGCGTCATCTATGCCAGGTACCGGCAACGCGCCGTTCGTGAGGAAGGGATAGCTCTTGGGGTCTTCTAGTATGTACTCGGCTTTCTGCTGAGCGGTCGCCCCCGCTAATAGCTGGTAGAATATATGGAACGTCCTCTCATCTTTCGCCTGTCTGATGGCTCTTGACTTCTCAAGTAAATACGTTTCGATATTAGCGCCCGCTATGAAACCGGACGCGTCGAAGTTTATTCTTATGAATTTACCCTGAAACGATGAATCTGTTAATAATTACGTCCTTACTCCTTTCATATCATATTATAAGTTGGTATATGACTTACAAAACGTGATGAGTTATCGTTCTTGACTGTCTTGGCGTTACCGAACGCCTCGAGGATTGGATTAGCTTGAAGAAGCTGTTGTTCTAATTCGCCCTGTAAAGAACATTGAAATGAATCTCTAAGCATTGGCTAATGTACAGCCATACATTTGACCTTGAGCCGCCCATAATACTTTATATGGCCCAATTGGTACTTAAGGCGATTAAACATGAATATATTGATTGTTTAGAAAGGAGTTGAATGAAGTATATATAATCGTCAATATATTGCATATAATGATGTGTTATGTACTAGTATATAATCGGTTTGATTACTCATTACCTCAAAAGATGGTCCATTGCTCTACGTACAGCGAATGTAGCAGCGTGTAATGATTTACATATATTATATATAAGTGATATTTAGTGCAGTTATTAGCATATGGTATATATAAATTTAAATTATTTACATATTATACAAGAAAATGCTTACAAATTGTTATATACAATAATATAATATTAGTTTCATATCTTAGTGAATGACATTATTAATGAAATTCCACTTACTATAATCAACTGCGGCGAAGGTCCCTGTTGTGTGGTTCGCGAGCGTTATAGAATAGAAGAAAAAGATATATATTACATGTCTGCTGAAATGTTTGTACATAAAATACTATGTGTTGTACATCGCATATATATATTTTCAAATGGGCAACAAATCACACTGATTATATTGATAGCATAGTATAGCAGAATTTAATGTAACAAAAAACATGACTAACAGTAAAAAAAAGGGATATCTAATGTTTTTTTTTGGAAATTTTCATAATTTTTTTCCTAATTTTTTTCCTAATAATACTCCAATTAAATATTTAGTCTCAACATTAGTATTAAAGTATAATTTATATTTCGTATAATTATTTACGACATAAAAACGCATCATAAATCACACTAGTAAAATCTTTTTGCTTAAAAACTTTTTACAAGCAGAAAAAAAAATGTATAACACGATTTAGCAAAAATTACGGGCATCTAGCAATAATGGATGACCTCAAAATGTCCACGGGTATTGTAATACGTGAATCTTATAATAATTATATAGTCTAAGAGCTTGTGTTGAAAAAAAAAACTACTCCGTCTTACCCGGACGCGACATTCGAACCGGTACACATGAAAACGCTTTAACACAGAAAAATAAATATTACGGTACTAATATACAATTTATACAGACTGAAAAATTAATGTACAATTTTTGTATAGAATATATTTTGTCACTTACCGCTCCCGATCCTTTAGGTTTGGAGGCCGCTACATACGCGAGGTATTGAATGACTTTCTTGGTGTTTTCAGTCTTACCGGCTCCAGACTCGCCGGTACATAAGATGGACTGATCCTCGCGATCTGTTATACACATATACTATGTTATACATGCAATAACATTCCTTGTATAAGCAATATTCGGCTTATACTATACGTAATTCTAATAGATAATGTACAAGGAAAATTAAATTCAATATGATTGGAACATGACACAGATATAGGTTCAAATCCGTGACGACGAGATTTTCATCTTATATTTAATATAAATTTTTCATATCTTTTCCCTCTCTTAGGATAAGGCAGATTATTTAATTTTTCGAACAAACAACAAGTACTAAAATGATTTCAACTTGTATCACAAGTCACAACTCGTGTGTCAAGAGATTGCTTCTTGACAAACCATCCAAATACATTCCCATTAGTTCATAGAGTGACATCGAATATGAAGTGTACTGAAAGCCTTTTCTGTTTGCGTCATTGAGCTTTCCCCTAAAACGTTCAACGCTCAAGATGGCATAATGTTGGAACCTTAATACGATAATCGTGAGTTATCGATAGACTAGTTCAACTTAAAAGAAAAGTAACAAGAAAAGAATATTAGTACATCCCTATCACATTGTAAATTGAAAACTAACTAGGCTAGTTTGGAAGAAAAAATATAAATAATAATAAAGTAGGAGAATCTTCCCAAAAGAGGGTTGATGTCAGGCAGGCGGTCGGTCGTAAAAACTATTAGCCAAAACTAGTCACAACATGTAAGGCAGACCCTGGCTAAAGCTGGGAAATTGCCAGGTTGAAGAAGAATAAAGTAGGAGAATATGTGGTATTTAGATGGTATGTCAAAAACAGTAACTATACATATTAATGGTGGTACGTAGGTGGTAGGTCTGTCATACCTTGCAGCATAGAGCGGTATGCTGTGTCTGTGATGGCGAACACGTGCGGTGGTACCTCGTGGCGTTTGATGCCCTTGTAACGCTCCATAATCTTCTCCGTGTAGATTGGCAGCTTCTTGTATGGATTGACTACCACGCAGAAGAGACCGGAGTATGTCTGATGAAAGAACATTAAATTTAATAAAATACACATATAATATGTTCATAGAAAGATCATAGTGTCAGCGAAGCTTTGGATACAAAACTGATACTAGTATAACATAGTTTAAGTTCGAGTATTTACAAAAATTATCTTGTTTGGTTGGACGAGTCTCATTAGGTCCAATTTAAATTCTATAGAAAATTTCTATCTGAATTTCTTAATTTAACAATACCGATACACATTCGCTAATAACGATCTTAATAATAGGCAGCTAAGATCTATTTCTCAAAGACACCTAATGGCCAGCTGGTTGTTAAGACAGGAAGACGATTGCTTCTATAGAATTCGTCACGGCCATTATCATGGTTGGAATACACCATCAATAAAGGGTCAATGTTATGGTATTTGACTCTGTTTGATGAGTAAAACGTACAATTTCATTTTAACATCAGTTTCCACCCGGCGCTACATACAATTCATGACAGTTATTGGATACAGAAGTTACATATTTATTATTACAAATCGTTTTATTACTTTCTGTATGACTAAAAAGTAAAACTTTAATCTATCTATTATGCAATTGTTGTTACTCTAAGATCGAATCTCGCCAAGTTATTCTCTAGGAAAGACCTAGAATTATCTGTAACCTAACCGCACTATGTTAGGGTCGAAGCAGATCATACGAATGCAATAAATAAATTAATAAAATCGAAACAAACAAGCAATTATAACTTGTTATCACAACAAACATTAATCGGCTATGTAATTATGATGTATTTTACCTAATATTAATTAATTATATAATATGGATTAAATTTATTGAAAGTATAGAATGATTTATCTTAACTCTTTAGGTGTATCTTTGAATTTTATGTTAAAATTTTAAACCAATATACTTAGCAGTAAAGGAAAAAATATGTTTAAAGTACATACTTATTTTACTATACATAGTTTAAATATTTATTCATATTTGAAATCAATAACAAAACTCAATCTGATGTATAATCTTATATCAATTTTTATTAAATCAATCCAAAGTCATGTTCTCGGCTAGATCAAACGTGTCGTTATCAGTGTGTGATAAGGGAGCCAGTTAGTGGCACTGAATCAATTTGCGAGCTGACCCTACATAGGTCACAGTAATGTTATATAAACATTTAACATCATAGAACAGTCTTCTGTATTATTAAACATTGTAACTTTACGATCTTTGAAGACGATATATGAAAAATAATATGCCTGGTTCTTAATAAATATTATATGAAAGAAATCATCATAGAAACAGAAGTGTATATGAGTGTTGTTCTCTAACTTTAAATGAATTTGTAAACACTTTGTGCTACCCTCGGCTTATACATTATTAAAATCACCAGGTGACCAGACAATGTGTTTAAAAGGCCATATATGTATTCTTCTTGGAGATTCATTCCATTAGCTGTACCAAGTGAGAAAACATTTTAAGCAGAAAATCTCGAAGTTGGAATACAAATCTTTTACTGTAAAGTCTCTGGTATTATTTCTAAAACAATCTATAAAGAAAATTGATGATTATAAAAATCCGGTGCGCGCTACTCCGACATATACTACGTAATGAGATCAAAGATTTTCACGAGCTTTATTCATTTAAATGAAACTAATAGTTTTCGGATAATACTACGCGACTTTATAATTGTAAAAAACTACATACTCCCAAAGTTTCGACTACTTTTCAGCAACCGTGATCTCGGTACAATATGTAGTTTTCTACAAAAATAAAGTCGTGTAGTATAATCCGAAGTGTTAGTTTCATTTAATTGTACTACGTAAATTGATTAAAACATTCGATAGGTTTATTCCATGTGTCTCGATTGATGACTGATGCAACATATGTATGAGCCGGCCCAGTTTCCACGACAAGCCTTCCTAATTTGGTCCTAGCTGTTCCAATGTGATACCTTCGTCAGTACACCAAATGGTATTGCCATAGACAGGCTGAGAAATGTTACTAGATTTGACAGCTGAGCAAACTTCATACATATGTGTATTACTATCAACTATAAGTATAAAAATAATGGCTTATTAACTAGCTCTGATGAAATGTTTTTAAAGACTATATTAATTTCGACGATTCCGACAAGCGAAACCTGTAGTCAAGTCATATTTTGTCGCGTAATAAGTCAGAGGCTAAGCAATATCAACCCTCTCTATACAACAATAAGGGTGAAAATAACAAAAACTCATACAGTCTGTGTAATCAGTTGTTGAACAAAAATATGCTCACAAAGGAAAAGCGTGGCACCATCAAGTCTGATGAGTCACCGGGTAAGAATTCAGCTCAGAGAATGTTATTTAGTTATATAAAAATAATATACATAAATTATATAAAGGCGAAGATAAATATTTAAGAAACCTGCCCGTAAGATTCAACCGACGTCCTTCACAGTTTATTGTTGACCTGATTCAAAGAAACGAGTACGGATTGACTTGCAAATAAATAGGACGATAACAGAAAAGTAAACAAAAAAAATCATTTAGATATCAAAAAAATAGAATATTCTAAATAGTTAAACGACTAGAAATTTTCTTATTAAAAGAACTAGAATTTATTTCCTTCTTACTTCCAATACACGTACAAATAACGTGAGAAGCCGTGGACAAAACCTAGTGTTTTTTTAGAATACATATATCAATGAAACAATTATTGTTCTGATATCCATACATAAAACATTCACACCCATCACATGGGTGAGTCACATTATGTTCAAGAATTCTACATATAGAAAAAAAAACAAGAAATCGTTATGGCGAGGCGCTCGTAACGGTTTTTATATTCATACAACATGTTGCCCGCGGCTTCGTCTGAATAGACTACGGATTTCAGCTCAAAGAGGACCTTATAGTGTGCTCATATATAGATGGTTATGCAATCTATCGCCTGAGTCATATGGCTACATACAAAAAACATTCCTTTTACGTTCGGCATAACCTTAAACGTTTTTCTTAAGCATTAGCTATATCATTGTTAAATGAATTTAAAATTCATTCAGCTGTTTCAACTTTGATGTAGAGTGGTCAGTATATGATGATGAAGATGATGAATGTCAACGGACGGTGATAAGCTAACGTGAGATGATCAACATTCATTCATTAACAGCCTCTGTACCGGTGTTGTTTCACAGAGAGCACATGATAACATCAACAAAGCTTCATCTGTGTCGTGCGATATCTGTCCGTAGTTACTTCATACAATAATCGTTCTTATAAAATTATTCAACATCCATATTAATTAAAAATATGACTCATATAATAGATTTTAGCACGATTCTAATATGACAAACCAATGTACGATAATTCAATTGATCTAATGGAAATATTATCAAAGAATCAGCTGCTAATCTCGTGCAAGGCCGTCGCTTATAAAGATGACATTGGTTATCATTGATTAGTAATTAAAAGATAATTCATAATTTTGTACTCGTCATACATTAAGCAACAGTTTGTAACAAATTTAATCTAATACTAAATATAGCATTGTAATGGCATCAAAAAAATTGTCAGCTCAGTTAATTAATCGTCCTTATCAAATCAATATAATAAAAGAAAATCGTGTTAGTTATACTATTTATAACTCAAGAATGACTGTACGGATTTGGCTGAAGATTGTTAGAGAGATAGCTTAGAACAACGGAAAGGATGTAGGATACTTTTCATTACATTGAAAAAGAAAGAAAAAAGTTCATCAAATCCAAAATCATCTTATCTATTGTCTTTAAGGAGGAATAGAGTTCACCCGGTCAGCTATACAGTTCTAATTATGAAACTAACGCGGACGAAATCGCGGTTAAAAGCTAGTTTATAATAAAGTAAAAAATGACACATAATTGTTTGGCCCAGGAGGTTGCACGTTATCTATCTCCCACATAACACGATGCATTATTCCGCCGTAATAAAGTCGATATCACTATATGCTGGTAGTGGTGACTCATAATGTACATTTATGGTTACAAACGAAGGTTTATACTACGTGACTTGTGCCGTTAGCCATATTTGGTTATTTGGTGTCGTGTTCAAAATACGCGAAGTGTACCCAACGACCTTTCATACGCCATATGTTTCACTGCAATTCATGTTACCGTCAATTATTAATAATAATAATAATATGTTAAGTTTAGTTATTATTGGACAACTTACTAACCGTTAGCCACGACTTTGTTTCATACATTTGTCATAAACAAGGAAACATACTTCACTAAAGCTCTAGTGACTTTTTAAATATGTAGTTGGTTTTTTGAATGTATATCTAATTCTATTAGGACTCTTATCCAGTGTCAAATAAATAAAACCATAATATGTATAATATTTGATGTTTCCAGTAGTTTTTGGCGTGATTAATTGACAAATGCGACTTCTATAAATCTATTTATGTATTAATTATTTTATATTCTAGAATTATAACGAGTAATCAGTTATTAATAAGAATTCTTCTTATACCCATGTCTTAGTGAATTGTATATAAAATTAAGCCTTAATAGCCGTTTTCAAATACATTACCAATTTTTGTATAATCTTCCTTTTAAGTCGAAAATTACATATAAATGAGAAACCGTTTAGAATTGTCTGCTGGCCGCCCACCGTACTCCGAAATTGGCTAAAGATACGAGCTCTGGATTTATGGCCCATTAGATAACAGATTTGTTATGTATTGTGTACATTAAGAGACATTACGTAGAACTAAACTGTTATATAAATAGTCTTATTAAAAATGAAGGAAAATCCACTTCAACCTAATATATCTATGTATTCCATTTCCATCTTATTGCAATATTATTCGGCAATCAATTAAAGTTACCATAAAAAAAACATTTCGTATAAAATCGTTAGTTTTTCAGTGATGAGGTAATCTATATGAGAGGTCGTTGACCCGTCCCAGGATGTCAGGAGCAACGCAGCTTCCCTTGATAAACATTGCTATTGCACTATAGATAAAGATATGTAGTACGTCTGTTGATAAGCAAACAACCGGACACTACTGAAAGTGGAATATTAGTAGG